ACCTGAGGTAGTCATGGAATCTGAACTGGGTTTAGACTGCTTTGATCCAGTTGAACTCTCTGAATTAGCAAAATTATTGTCTTCATCTAAGCCTTCAACTTGTATGTTAGATCCAGTTCCAACCAGGTTATTTAAGGAGGTATTCCCTTTGATCTCCTCCTCCATTTTAGATGTGATTAATCTATCTCTGTTACAGGGATATGTACCTAAAGCTTTTAAGGTTGCTGTAATTAAACCTCTGCTTAAGAAACCGTCTCTTGACCCAGATGACTTGGTCAATTATAGACCTATATCCAATCTTCCTTTCTTATCCAAAATTCTTGAGAAAGTAGTTGCCAAACAAGTTTGCGATCACTTCCACCATAATGAACTTTTTGAAGAGTTTCAGTCTGGCTTTAGAGCTCATCATAGCACTGAAACAGCTCTGGTGAAAGTCACTAATGATATTCTCATGGCCTCAGATAATGGACTTGTATCTGTGCACGTCCTGTTGGATCTTAGTGCTGCATTTGATACAGTTGACCATAATATTCTTTTAGAAAGACTTGAATATTTTGTTGGAATTAAAGGAACAGCACTAGACTGGTTTAAATCTGATCTATCTGATCGAATTCAGTTTGTTCATGTTAATGATAGATCTTCAACACGCTCAAAGGTTACCTGTGGAGTACCACAGGGATCAGTGCTAGGACCAATTCTCTTTACTTTATACATGCTCCCAATTGGTAGAATTATTAGACAGCATGGGATTAATTTCCACTGTTATGCTGATGATACCCAGCTATATCTGTCTATAAATCCAGATGAAGCTAACCCATTACATAGATTACAGGCATGTCTGAAGACAGAAAAACCTGGATGACTCTTAACTTTCTGCTTCTGAATGCAGACAAAACAGAAGTTATAGTCTTTGGACCAGAGTCTCTGAAAAAGAAACTGATTAGCCAGTCACTTCATTTGGATGGGATTAAACTGATTTCAGATAATAAAGTAAAAAATCTTGGTGTTGTTTTTGATCAGGACCTGTCATTTAAATCCCACATCAAAGAGGTTTCTAGAATTTCCTTCTTTCATCTGAGGAACATTGCAAAAATTAGAAATATCCTGTCCAGGGGTGATGCTGAGAAACTAGTCCATGCATTTGTTACTTCAAGGCTGGACTATTGTAATTCTTTACTATCAGGAAGTCCACAAGCTGTAGTTAAAAGCCTTCAGCTGATCCAAAATGCTGCAGCCAGAGTTCTAATGAAAATGAAAAAGAGAGATCATATCTCTCCTATCCTGGCTTCTCTTCATTGGCTTCCTGTTAAATCAAGAATAGAATTTAAAATCCTCCTTCTCACATATAAAGCCTTAAATGGCCAAGCTCCATCTTATATCAGAGATCTGATTGTTCCTTATGTTCCTAACAGAGCACTTCGCTCTCAATCTGCAGGTTTACTAGTGGTTCCTAGAATTTCTAAAAGTAGAATGGGAGGCAGATCTTTTAGTTATCAGGCTCCTCTCCTGTGGAACCAACTACCAGTTTTAGTCCGTGAGGCAGACACCCTGTCTACTTTTAAGGCTAGGCTTAAAACTTTCCTTTTTGATAAAGCTTATAGTTAGAGTGGCTCAGGTTATCCTGAGCTATCTCTATAGTTATGCTGCTATAGGCTTAGACTTTTGGAGGACATAGGGACCCCCATTTCATCATTCTGCTTCATTCTCTCTCTGTTCTCCTATTCTACAGAATCTGTTAGTTCAATCTCTAATCTTCTGCTCTCTCTGCTTTTCCTCAGAGTAGCTTTGCCTCGTCTGTTCCTGTTTGGCTGTGACGTCATCCTGGAAAGAAACATCAGCTGTGCTGCTTCTATCAACACCCTTGTTTATAGATGTTGGAGATCAGCCTGTTTTCCAGTGTGGTCCTGTTTCTCTGACCGTGACTGAGTGGATGTGCTTTCTTCGTCCTCTGGCATGGGAGCTGCCTTGGAGCTCGTCTGCCTGGCTGTGTGTTTCCTGGACGGGGCCGCCTTTTACAGCTGCTTTTTCTATGTCTGCTTCTGTCTCCTTGAACCCCAGTCGGCCTCGGCAGATGGCCGCTCACACTGAGCCTGGTTCTGCTGGAGGTTTCTTCCTGTTAAAAGGGAGTTTTTCCTCTCCACTGTCGCTACAAGCATGCTTAGTGTGGGGGATTGTATTTGAGTCAATGAGTCAATGCAATCAACTGGTTTTCCTTAGATAGAAAACTTTGTATCAATTTGATCTGGTTGAACTGTAAAGTGCCTTGAGATGACATGTGTTGTGAATTTGGCGCTATATAAATAAACTGAATTGAATTGAATTGTTACTATATTTTAATTTGACAAACCGGATCTTCTCGCCGTTCTTTCTCCTGTTTGGTGTGATTAGCGGATCTTGACCTGGCCGGACCGGAGAGGAGCCTGAACATTTAGAGGATGTTTGGCTCAACCTGCTGCTGTGAAGCAGGATTCTCCACCATGAACAGAATCAACAATAAATCTGGATCCAGGCTCAAAATGAGCTCCTTGATATGTGCTTGAGAATGGCTTAGTCTCCGGTTAAACCCAGGTTTAAAGCCTTGCAGGGCAGCCTAAAGCCCACTGCCAACATTAAGACAGAAAAAAGAAAGAAAATAACAAACCATCAGTTCAGGGGTTTGAGAAAATATGGGAATCAGGAAATTATCTATAAACCATTTTATATTGCTTTTAGAATTAGTCCAAAAATTGAGCTTTCAGTTCATCTAGCGGCATCTGGCTGTTTTTATTAAAGGTTACTTTATACTTTTATACTTTCAGTAGTTTTTGCAGCGCATACTTTTTCACTTTTACTTGAGTAAAGAGGTCAAGTTGATACTTTAACTTTTACCAGAGAGTTTTTAAACTGCAGGATCTAAACTTCTACTGAAGTAACAAACGTGGGAACTTTTAACTCCGCTGGTTATTAGTGAGCGTGTTTCAGAGATGGCGTCCGTCTGTACGGCTGTCAAACCTGAGATAAGGAGAATTAGGACAGTCAGGGCTTTGGGTGAGTATTGTATGGGGGTTCCGGTACGATATGATGTCATCATGATATCACTATATATGGATATAAAAGCAGGTGCTGTCAATGTTCATCAGAAGATAATAATCATGGAGTTGTTTTGGTTTCCATGTTGTTTGGGGGTTTGTCAGTAAACGTCTTCCAGCGTTGCCAGGGGCGGATTTAGGAAATGTGGGGCCCTGGGCAAAAACAGGCAGGGGCCCCTCTGAATGGAGAAGACAACACTTCAACCAGACCCATTCTACAGATAGAGAAATGTTAATAGAATAGACATCCATTATCTGTTCTAGGTTGTGTCCCTCTCTTCTTGTTTTCCTCTCTACGTTTTTTACTCTGCAGTGTTAATTTAATCAGTTTTTTTATTTAGTCTTAGTCACAACGGTAAAACTCAATGTTAGTCATATTTAGCCATTTTAATCAACACTCTAAATAATAGAACTTCTCCACACACAGCTTCTCCTTTTCTCTATTTTATTTATCTAACACTGTGCAGAATAGAACTTCACACACTGATTCTTTTTAACATATATCCCTCTGCACACATTGAACCTTCTGTCAGTTTGTTTCATCATATCCAAAAAGTCTTCATCCTCCATGGTCGTTGCAGGCAGGTCAGAACGCCCAATCCACTCTGCCATTGAGTTCTCCAGGGCTTTCTGCTCTTTGGGGTCATGTTTGTACGGTGGGGGGGCTCCCAACATCTCTGGAACAGACTTCCCTTCCTTCTCCAACCTCTGACCTGGCGGTGGCGTCAGTCACTATCATGCAGGTTGTTTCGTTGTCCTTCATGTTGTAAACAAATGGCTCCATATATCTGGGTTGTACGTCGCCATAGATCCACTGAGCGATTTTCCCACCACCACCTTACGGCGGCCGACTGAATTTCAAACATGTTTGGCTCCATGGAGCCTCTGATTTGTTCTGCTTCTCCTCCCAGATCTTCCATTATGACCACCCCTCCGCCACCGTTCTCCATCAGGACTTCAGCGACCGCCTCAGCTGGCTGGGAACGTTGGACGAAGACGTCCAGATCGGTGCCGTTTACATCCAGAATGTCACCTTCAACGACAGCGGGACATACCGCTGCACCTTCCACCGCACCCTCCTGCTGGCCCTGCAGCCTGAGCACGTGGTGGTGGAGAAGGAGGTGGAACTCACGGTGGTGGCTGTAGGTGAGCAGATGATGGTGAGCGCCGCTTCGTCCAGAACGCTCCTTTTGACTGACGCCATGCTGGTCGGTGTCTTGCAGCCAATCGAGAGCTGACAGCTATAATCTCAGAGATTGTGATGTACGTGCTGATCGTTGTTCTGCAGCTGTGGCTCATCATCGTCATGGTCTACTGCTACAAGAAGATCTGGAACGAACACGAAGCTCGAGAAGAGAGGAAAGCAGTCAGAGCAGAGGAGCTGTGAGTCTAAGATGGCCGCCTCTCTTTCTGCTGCCGCTCAGATCATCATCATCTACTTTCTTCTTCTGTTCTCAGTCTGTTGCAGTCAAAGGAGGACTTCTGTGACGGGGTCATGGCAGATTAGCTGGACTCCACGAGGTCTGGTTAGAGGCCCGCCTCAAGAGGAACTATCGTTTCCTGAGAGACGGGCTTTTAGAATCCGTCATTAAGGAAGATCATCTCTGAAGAACGAAGGTTCTGTCCTGTTCAGTCGGAACCAAAACGTAAAGCGAGTCAAAGGCTTCCATTATAAATATGCTGCATAAGCAGTTTATCCTTTAAAGGAAAAGTCGCTCATATTCAGAATTCAAACTTCTGAAAGTTCTTTAAATCTGAAATGATTCCATCCTGTTCAATAAATGATCAGTGTTTTTAATTCAGAGTAATTTTCATGTGAATGTGCTTTACTGGAGGCATCCATGTTTGTCAAAGAACACTACTGCCACCTACTGGTTAGTGACATTGTCACGGTGCGGTATCGGCTGTTGATCAAGTCCCAGTGCTATTATCCAAGTCATCTTCTAAGACCAGTTAAAATTAATGCAACATTTATTAATGTACTGTATATTTTTATAGTAAAATTATTGATTTTTTTCTGCACCAATCTAAAACTTTTGTGGATAAATTGTTTTTGAAAAAAGTTGCAGCTCTGACCTTCAGAGGTTTTCTGACCTGAAAAGACTAATTATTCTCCAGAACCTCTCAGGTGTGTTTTTGGTACCGCCCGGCGTACTGAGCTGGTAACAGCTGGTACTCTGACTGACTCGGACTCTAAAACCTTAGAGTTTATAAACTTGGTCAAATAATAGTTATCAGTTTATTTAGGATTCTTTGGTTGGTTGTTCTCGTAGGTCTAAGTCGTCACTAAGAAAAAACCCTCAGAGGTTTTCCTCTTCTGTTCTCATCCAGTTCCTGATCCGGTCGTCTTTTCTTTACCTTTTCTTCTCCAAAACCAAACGGATCTTCCTCTGTGCTTCTCTGAAGCTGTGATTAAAGGTGATGATTGGAGGAAAAGCAGGATAGTTTCAGGTCTGCTTCCTGCGAGCAGATTTATCCTCATTAAGCGTTTGTCGCTTTAATAGACGTTTGCTTACATGAAAGGCAAACAGACTGAAAAGGTTTTTATCTCTGATGTTTGGTATTTTTAGAGGAAGACCGTCCCGTCAGTGAGCTGGAGGACGTTTGGAGGAGGTTCTGCTGTAATCTAATCTCTCTCAGTCTGAAAGCTGCTTTGTTTTCTGGCTGCAGCTCAGCGCCTCACAGACCCAAAGTCCAACAGAAACACGTCTGGTTCAGAACCAAAACATCCCTGAATGGGACGGATCAGCAGGTTTCTGATCCAGACTCATGTAGATCCTGGTTGGTTCTGGCAGAACCAGCGGGTTTGGACCCGTGCTTCATGTGCAGGACTCCTCAGGCTGCAGAGACCTTCACCTGCGCTCTGACCTCCTCCTCTTTCATTAAACCTGTTGACGTGTGGAACCATAAAGGCTGGGGGGGTTACCGGATCAGAACCACTAGATGCTGCTGCTGAGAGTGAAATGGTTGCAGTTTGATTTCGGACCTTCAGAAGGTAAGAATTAAAGGACAGAGACAAATCTGGACCTTTTTTCCTCTTAATCTGCTTAAAACTGAAAGGATGAGATCATAGAAAAATGTTCTAGATTCAAACCTGCAGTTTGCTGATCTGAGCTCTGCTGTTTCTGATCATTCCTCCTTTTCAAAGCAAAACGAGACGCTTAAATGGGAGGAAGTATTTGGTTTCCTTCTTTTTTAAAAACAGAAACCAGATCATGATTTTAATCGTTTCATAAACTTGGTTCATATTTCTATTTTTTTTTTTTTTTGCTGCAATGAAAAAATATGAATAATTTTGAAACAGGAAGTCTGGAGCAGAAATATTTTAATTGTTATATTTCAAAGTTTGTCTTTTTGGAGAAACACAAACTTATATAAAATCTATAAAAACATGTTTTCAATAAAGAAAATATTCAACATCTTTTGATTGTTTTCATTTTCTGACACATTTTGTAGATTTATTAATCTTGTTATAAAATCTTCCAGTTTCATATTTTACTGACATAAACAGCTTTTCTTTCCTCTCATGAAATGTTTCAGTTTTTATTTAATCTCCAAATGATGAAAAATGTTTCAGAGAAACGGTTTTATTTCTGGTTGCAGAGCACAGAGCGGCCAGTAGAGGGCGGCGATGCACCGCTTCAACAGCACCGAGCTGCAGTCCCTCCTGCTCTCCTTCCTGCAGCACTGCCTCAACAGAAGTAGCCTTCAGGCGCCTGAGAACTACACTTCCCATGAGGCCTTGCAGCAGGCGGCCCCGGCCGGGGGCCACACTCAGCCCCAGGAGCTGATGTACATCCTGCTGATGGTGGGCCTCTTCAGCTTCTTCACCTTCGGCATCATGCTCAGCTACATCCGCTCCAAGAAGCTGGAGAGCTCCCAGGATCCGTACCACCAGTACATCGCCCACGACTGGAGCGCGGTGGCCGCGCCCCCCAGGGCCGTAGCCGAGGCCCTGCAGAGGGGGGCCGAGGGGCCGGTGGTCATCTGCAACCCTGCGGCTCTGCAGCAGCTGCCAGAGTGAACAGACCTCCAGGACCTTTTGTGACGCAGATAAACAGGAAGTCATGGATTCCTGATTTAACTCTGATCAAGTTATAATAAAAAAATCTGGTTTTATTTTGTCCTTCTGGATCTGTTGGGGATCACTGGTTACATTCTTTAAAAAATAAAGTTAAACTCTGAGTGCTAATGACGCTCAGAGCTGAGCAGCAGGTTTCTGTAGCTAAAACCCAAACATAATCTGAATCATTTCAACTTTAAATGAATCGTTCCTCCGACTGAAGCGAAACTCTGGGAAAAACGTCCTAAAAATCCGTTCATCAGTTTTCAATCGATCAAACCAACAATTTTCCCTTTTCTAAATTCTATTCAGTTTATTTCTATGGCTCCAATTCACATCATGTCATCTCAGGTCACATTATAGATCCAGATCAACCAGATCATCCAGTCAGATTGATTCAAAGTTTTCTATCTAAGGAAAACCAGCTGATTGCATCGACTCATTGACTCTTCAGCAATCCCTCACACTAAGCATGCTTGTAGCGACAGTGGAGAGGAAAAACTCCCTTTGAACAGGAAGAAACCTCCAGCAGAACCAGGCTCAGTGTGAGCGGCCATCTGCTGAGGCCCACTGGGGTTCAAGGAGACAGAAGCAGACATAGAAAAAGAAGCATAGATACAAAAGGCAACTGTCAACCAGCTCCACAGGCGGCCCCGTCCAGGAAACACACAGCCAGGCAGACGAGCTCCGAGCCAGCTCCCATGTCAGAGGATGAAGAGAGCACATCCAGTTAGTCACAGTCAGAGAAACAGGACTACACTGGAAAACAGGCCAAGCTCCAACATCTAGAAACAACATCTCCTGTTTCTGTCTTCAGTGAAAAACCTGCAGACTTTATGAGTCCGATGCTGAAGCTGTCAATGGTCTCTGCTGCCCCCCTCTGGTTTGGGGGGGAACTGCTTGTTCCGTTAAATATCCTGATATCACCATGTTGGAGAATCTTTAAAAAATCCTGTATCAGGATTATTATCTGGATTAAGACTGGAGCTAATAACTAATTAATAATGGATAAGAACTGAATTGACTTTTTGTCAAATAAAAACCGATGAAACTAAAACTGGAGTTCCAGATGGAGCAGATTGACAGACCTGAAATATCATTTATCTTAAATGCTAAATCTTTGTAGATTTATTTTTATAATCTTGGTATAATTCCAGTGAGTTGTTCTCTCAGCTAAAGGCAAATGTTAGAGTCTCTATGCTCCAGTTAACCAGTAATAGATTACTAAATGGATTACCTTCAAACTAAAGGTTAGACTCTGGTTTAAACTAATTAAAACAGCAGCAGCATCTTGAAAATGTTCTGGAAGATGACGAGCTTCCAGCGACTCTGCATGAGATCAAAGTTCTGCTGATGATTCGCCGTCTTCCAGGTCAGAGTCATTCCAAAGGGTCGGCGCCGTTCGTCCGTTTCTATCTGCAGGTTCACTAAACCTGGAAATAAAGACTGGATTGATTTTAGTTTTGGTTTAAGATCAAAGAACATTTAGCAGCTTAATAAAACTCTGATTGCTTCGTATTCGTTAAAGGATAAAAACTGCATCACTAAGGTGAATAAATATTGACTCGCTGCGTAAAATGACCACTTCCTGATTAAAATGACATCACAGCGTCCCTCAGAGTTTAGCGTCGTCTGCTCAGTGGATTATTTTATGCTGAACATGTTTTCCCTCGGGATGCGTTTCCTTTTTTAAACGCCATCAGAGCGAACCTCCAGGTTTGGTTTTGACCTTCAGAGTCGGAGCAGACGCTGCATCCAGGTCAGCAGTCCAGCTGTTTTTCTCCGAGTCTTTGCTGCAGAGTCGGCTTTCTTCTTCTCCTCCTTCCTTCTCTGTCGCTCCGCCTCTCGGACCCTCAGCAGGTCGGCGCGGCGCCGCTCGGCGCCCCTCTGTGCGCGCTCCGTCTCCCTGGCCATGCTGAAGTGGACCATCTGCATGCCGAGCATGGGGACGATCAGGTTATAGTTGTCCACCATCTTGTTGAGCTTCTTTAGCTCCTCCTCCATCGACGCGCACAGCCGCTCCCACTGCTCCTGCTCTGCCGGGGTCATGGGGTCGGCGAGCCGGGCCCGGCCGTCCAGCAGCCGGCCGCGGAGCCGCGCGGCGCCCTCCCTGATGTCGCGCTGCGTCACCACCCATGGCGGCTGGTAGCCGTTGTCGATCAGGATGCGGTTGAGGTTGTGGGTCATGGGGTCGGCGTACGGGTTGTGCTGGAACTTGTTGAGCGGTTTCCCAGCTCCGCTGAGGTTCCGGAAGTCGCCGCGCGCCATCGACTCCTGGATCAGGTCCTCCACCAGCCGCTCCACCGCCTGCGTGATCTTGATCTTGCGGCTGCGCTGCCGGGTGTCCCGCTCCACCAACGCGCCCTCCGCCGCCGCCGCCCTCTCGTGCTCCCTCTGACGGTAGCTGAGGACCTGCTCGGCCGCCCTGTCCACACGGATCTGCCGGTACTGGCGCTCCCGCTGGCTGGGGGTCCCTGAGCCCACGCCCTCGTAGCTCAGGTAGTGTCTGTGCTGCGGGGCGGCTCGCCGCGCCGCGTCCTCCTCCTCCTCCTCCTGCGTTGCTCCTTCCTGCAGCCTGGTCTTACTCTGATGGGTCAGAACGGTCCGGTACGCCTCCTCGATCTGAGCAAACAGCGCGGCGTCGGCAGTGGCTTCCCCAGAGTCCGGGTGGTAGAGCTTGGCGAGGCGCAGGTAGGCGTCCCTCACCTGGGCGGGGCTGCTGTGGCCCTCGGCAGGCAGCTGCAGCAGCCGGTAGCTCTCCTGGAGGCTCCGGCTGATCCGGTTCCCCGAGCTCAGCCGCCTGAACGCCACGGAGCGCCGGAACGGGCGGAGCAGCGAGCGGCCATGATGGAAACCACTGCAGCCCCGCAGCAGGTGGAGACAGACGCTCATCCCTCAGGTGGAGCTCACCTGAAACAGAAAACTCTTCATCAGGAAGGGGAGGAAGAGGAGGAGCAGTCCAGCTTACCGCACCGTGATGTCACTGCTGGAAGGAGGGGTTACTATATTTGAGCAAAAATGGCCGCTCCCAGACTCAGCGATCGCCATGAAAATTATTTTTATTTTTTACTGATTGAAGCTAAATTCATTAAACCACCGCGAAGGTTTTAGTCTTAGGTCTAAATATTGATCCATGGATTATTCGTTGCTGATCGGAGTTTTCCTAAACGCCTCGGCTCTACTTTCTGTATTTCTACTTTTGTTAATAATATTTTCTCTGTTTTCCATTTTTAGTGAAAAGTTTCTCCATCCGGTCCCTGATTGGTCGGCGTGCGGCGCCGCCGTCTGACACCTCAGCTCTAACTGCTAGCAGCAGGTGGGGGAGGGGCAGGGAACGCTCTGACCGATTCATGTGAATCCCTGTTTTTGTCGCGAACACGAAAAAACGCGTCTCCCTTGAACGCATCATTTAACCATCCAGGCTGCAGCTAATTATTATTTACAGTCAATTAATCTGTTGAATAGTTTTTAGATTAATGTGTTAATAATCGACTTGTTTCAATAATCGATTAATCAGGATAAATTAATTCAGCGCTAAAAGCATCCGTCAGCAAAGAGTCGATTAGAGATTTGATCAAATCAGCTGATCTGGAAAATCAGAAACTTTCAGCTTTAATTTCAGTCGGACTCTTTTTTTTTTTCCTCTTCAGTTTCGCTCTAAATTGTTCAGAACTTAAGTTTTAAAACTATTTGTTCTTTGTAACATTAGTTTTAGTTTTTAATCCGTCACAGTGATGCATGGAGCCCATAGATCAACGATCCAGGAACCGTTTCTAACCCCTGATTCACTGAATCGTTTCTGTCAACATGATGCATCCAATAAAAAAATATCTCATCTTTTACAGTTTATCAGCAAAATGATCCAGAATTTTGGAGCCTAAAGGGAAGAAGAAGTGTTGGAGCTATTTATTCTTTATTTATCCATTAGCATTGTGTTAATTCCTAAACTTATATATTTTTTGTATTATTTACAGACTTAATTTATAGGTTAATTGTTGGATTTTGTGCATCTATTTTTTGCTGTTTTATCATTTTTTCTTTCTTTATTTTATGTAAAACAGGAAGAAATGTGGGCGGTCCACTTTCTATAAATATAGGAGCCTGGTAAGGACCAGCAGGCATTCGGGTTAGGCGCCTATGGGTTTTTACCAGAGCAAGAGAGGAGACAGAGCGAGGAAAGTTTGAACTCTGTAATGTTGCAAAATATAGGAAATAAATCAACTGAACATCTACAAGTTTGGACTTCAACTTCTTTTGCCTGCGTCAAGAAAACGTGAGCCCAGTGTCTATAGCGGCTTATTGGAACTTTACTGGATGTTTGGTTTGACAAACATTCGCCACTACAAGAACGTTTCAGCCGTTTTTAATTTTAAGTTTTTTCCTCTCAGTTATTCACTCAAATGATCTTAATTAAAGCTAATTTTAAATTCATTCTTAGTTTATTTACTATTTTTACTGCACTTATTGTTTTATAATTATGATTTAAAATCCTAGTATACAAGCACTGCATTATTTATTGGCTGCATCTAAAATATCAAAGATATTTTAAGTTTAAACATAGAAATAACCTTTAATTAAATGCAGTGTTTTTAGGATTTTAGGAGACTGTGAGGGAGGGGGGGAGTCTGACCCTCGGGGGTTTTCATGTGTGCACATTTTTAAGCCTGGTGTATCCCACTTAAAGGGGAACGCCGTTTTTTTCCATTGGCTCCTTGATTTTCCGTTATTCCATCATGTTCTACTCTCCCATATGAGTTTAGTGTCATTTGGAGCCGTTCTGAAGATATTCCGTTAGGTTATATCCAGTAACGTCTTCCTATGGGCAACAACTTGAAGGCTCAAACTAAACTAAGAGTCTCCAGAAGCCGCCAGTGACACCAGAGAAGTCGCTAGATTTGTCGTTAGTCGCTTTTATTGAAAAAGATTCACTGAAAAGCGGCTAAATATAGCGACAAAGTCGCCGAGCTGGCAACACAGCACGGGGGAACCGGGCAGCCAGGGCGGGATTTTTATAAAGGAGGGCGGGACGCGCTTTGAAAAAAATCTAACAATTTGTGTCTCTATGGCGACGGGTTACGGGCGGAATGAAAGTACAGCTGTGGAACGGTCTGATAAACTGACTGATCTTTTTGTTCTTGTCGTTTTCTCTCTCTATATCTATATATCTATATCAGACTGTGGCGGGCCTCGTTCATTAATGGGAAACACTGATATCATTGATCTAGGTCAGTTATCCCCAAAGTGGGTCCCTGAGGGCCGCTGTCCTGCAGGCTTTAGACGTTTCTCTGCTTCAGCTGATTCTGATGATCCCAGTTCAGCAAAAGCCTTTTAATCAACCATCAATGCAAACCTGCAGGACGGCGGCCCTCAGGGGCCCACTATGGCGATGCCTGTTCTAGGTCATCAAATCAATTCAATTTAGTCTGTCCAATCAGATGCCTGTAGTGTCTTTTAATGTCCAGCAGGGGTCAGTATTCTGTCAGAATCAATGCAGCATCAATACAGTTTGGTTCTATGGAGGACCAGCTCCACCATATTTAAATTTAAATACAAAAATAAATAAATGGTCAATAAATAAATATGCATACAATTAATTTCATGTAACTACAGTATAAATGTAGGTAGAAATTTAGACACGCCCCCTAAAAATTACAAAGAATAAAACAGACAAAAATATTAGAATATACACATAAATAAATACTTAAAAAATATGTAATAAATAAATTAAGTTGAAGATTATAACAGACAACAAATAAATAAGTTAATTATTACAAAGGTGAATAAATAATGAAGCTAATTAAAAGATATATATATATATATATTATGTCTCAGTGTATAATTTAATTTCTACCTTCCTTTTTTATTGCATTTTTTGGGGGGGGGGGGGGGGGGGGGGGGGGCAATTAATTATATGCTTATTTATTTATTGAGCATGTATTTATTTCTGTATTTATTTTTAAATATGGCAGGATTGGTCCTCCATAGAGTCCAGATGCCTCATTAATCATTATTTAGATCAACAGCAGATATTTCAGAAACTCACAGAACAAAATCTGTTTATTCACATTTTGAACATGTGTCACTTTTTTCTAATTGTGACAAATAAAAAACCTAATAAATAGAAAACACCAAAGTTTTAAAGCACAGATAGTTTTACCTTGTTATTTCAGAGCCTCTAAGCGGAATGAGCAGCTGCTAAAATAACAACATTTCCACACAAACATCGATGAAAGTGAAGAAAACCTTCGGGCAGAAGCTGCTCACCGTTCGGCTGCAAAGCTCCGCCAGAGGCCGGAAGGTTCCAGCCTGCTGCCGCCCAGCAGGAGGTCAGCTCACCGGGCAGCAGGAGGTCAGCTCACCGGGACGCAGTCCGGTTCTTATGTAGCTTCTTCTTCGTCTTCTTCCTGCGCCTCTCTGCTGCTGCGCCTCCTCACCGCCCCCTGGCGTCAGGACAGAGGACTGCAGCTTCACTGACAACTTCTTCTTCCGGATTTTGAGGAGGACATCAGTCCTCTGCTGCAAAATATGATCTCAATGATGCAATTATCCAAGATGGCGCCAAAATACTCTACAAAAGTTGTTTAAAAATAGATGTTTGAGCTCATTTTTGGAAACTATAAACCCTATTAAAAGCGTTTGGGTGGAGTAACTGGAGGTCCATCAGCCCCCACCCTTAGAGCTGCCCCATTCTTAGAGGGCCTCCACCCTTAGAGCTCCTCCACCCTTAGAGGGCCTCCACCCTTAGAGCTCCTCCACCCTTAGAGGGCCTCCACCCTTAGAGCTGCCCCATTCTTAGAGGGCCTCCACCCTTAGAGGGCCTCCACCCTTAGAGCTCCTCCACCCTTAGAGACACTTTCTGCTCTCATTGAACATAAACTATTAAATGATGAGATTTCATCATTCTGCTTCATTCTCTCTCTGTTCTCCTATTCTGCAGAATCTGTTAGTTCAATCTCTAACCTTCTGCTCTCTCTGCTTTTCCTCAGAGTAGCTTTGCCTCGTCTGTTCCTGTTTGGCTGTGACGTCATCCTGGAAAAAAACATCAGCTGTGCTGCTTCTATCAACACCCTTGTTAATAGATGTTGGAGATCGGCCTGTTTTCCAGTGTGGTCCTGTTTCTCTGACCGTGACTGAGTGGATGTGCTCTCTTCGTCCTCTGGCATGGGAGCTGCCTTGGAGCTCGTCTGCCTGGCTGTGTGTTTCCTGGACGGGGCCGCCTTTTACAGCTGCTTTTTGTATCTCTGCTTCTGTCTCCTTGAACCCCAGTCGGCCTCAGCAGATGGCCGCTCACACTGAGCCTGGTTCTGCTGGAGGTTTCTTCCTGTTAAAAGGGAGTTTTTCCTCTCCACTGTCGCTACAAGCATGCTTAGTGTGGGGGATTGTATTTGAGTCAATGAGTCAATGCAATCAGCGGGTTTTCCTTAGATAGAAAACTTTGTATCAATTTGACTGTATGATCTGGTTGAACTGTAAAGTGCCTTGAGATGACATGTGTTGTGAATTTGGCGCTATATAAATAAACTGAATTGAATTGAATTGATCATCTCAGGATAACAGGATAGTGTCTCAATAAAGAAAATTCTCATTCCACCATTATGTCTCTCCCTCATCACATTTATCTCATAGCGGGATTATAATCCGAACAACATCTGCAATAATTAATGATGTCATCATCAGAGTTAGCTTGTTTCCTGGTATTTTTTTATTAGTACTATGAAGCTCTGGCTGTTTAAACTTTCACCGATCCGACTCCAGACAGCAGTTCTTCATCTTTATGACATTAATAAAGCCACTTATTAGAAATAAGATATCAGTTTAATTTAAATGTAACAGACAATGTTACGCAGACATGGAGACGTTACAGTGAAGGAAAATGTTCCTCTTCTGTGCAAAAGAACAAAAACCAGAAAACAACTCATATTTCATAAAAATTTTTATTTTCTCTCAACATCTAGTCGTCCATCTGCAGGTCTGAGACCAGAAAACGTTCGTTCTTCTGAAGGATGGAGAAGAAAATATTCTTGCATTCGTCTCCAGCACCAAGGTGGATAAAAATCTCCCTCATCTGAGACTCAGCGGTCCGCAGAGATCTGATGTCGTTGTAGGTCTCTGGATGCAGAACGCCGTTCTGGAGAAGTTCATCCATAATGGGTCCCAAGTTCTTCACTGTTTGGATCAACTGGTCTCTATGTTTGTCCACAAAGTCTGGAGAGAATAAAAGAGAAATACCTTTAAAATACTTGCACTTAATGGTAATAATTATTATTATTATACTTCGATGACCTAAAAGTGTTAAAAGTGTTTATTCCTCATTAAGATTTCAAACATCTTTACTTTTCTGCCCAAATTAAATGTTTCAGATAATAAAAAAATAATGATATCAGCCAAAGAAACTTTAAGCAAAGAACAAAAGCAGTTTTCAAACTAATTATTCCTTCATCTCCAAACCAAAGGTCTGTTTGTTTCCACCTGGGAAGCAACAGCTGCCATCGGTTCTTTCCTCAGCGTCACTGTGGAGGAGCTTCATCCTCTCTGCTCGGAGGAATTGCTTATTTAGGCCAAAATGGAGTAATTAACGGCCTCAATTAAAGCTTTATAGTCTAGTTTCCATTAGATCAGGGTAAAATAAGGTGTTAATATGCAGCATCTGTCCTGATAGTGATCCGTGATGGCGTCCTTTCTCAGCCTAATGCCGCGTTCACACCGACGGCGGTTTGGGCGTCAAAAACGCGCAGACAGAGAAATCTGGACGCTGGATCAAGTTCGATGCTCCGCCTCTTTTTCAGCCCCCATTTTTCTGTCACACCGACAATATTTTAAATCATGTTTTTATAGAAAGATTAGTTTTAGGCTCTAGTGGCCTTTATTTTGAAAAGTAAACAGGAAGTGAGAGTAGAGAGATGGTGAAGAAGTTCACCAGGACTCTACCTGCGACCCATAAACAGGACGAAGCGTCTGTTTATGGGTCCCATGTTCATCCTCTGTGCCGCCGCCGCCGCCCCAAAGTTCATATTTACTGTAATTAAAGCTTTAAAAGACACTGCAGAATAAAACAGAGTAGAAATAAAGACGTATCCTGCAGCTCCTCCTGCTGCTCCTCCTGCTGCTCCTCCTGCTGCTCCTCCTGCTGCTCCTCAGCCCAAAGAGGAGGTTGGTTTTACTCGGCTTTTGTAACAGGTGGCAGCAGTGGGTGGGGCCCTCTCCTTTGCCTGAGCCTGTATAAAGGAAGGAGAGCAGGAAGAGGAGCAGGAAGGGGAGCGGGAAGAGGAGCAGGAAGGGGAGCAGGAAGGTGAAGCAGGAAGAGGAGCAGGAAGGGGAAGCAGGAAGAGGAGCAGGAAGGGGAGCAGGACGTTGAAGCAGGAAGGGGAGCAGGAAGAGGAGCAGGAAGGGGAGCAAGAAGGGGAGCAGGAAGGGGAGCAGGAAGGTGAAGCAGGAAGGGGAGCAGGAAGGTGAAGCAGGAAGGGGAGCAGGAAGGTGAAGCAGGAAGAGGAGCAGGAAGGGGAGCAGGAAAATGAGCAGGAAGGTGAAGCAAGAAGGGGAGCAGGAAGGGGGGCCGGAAGGGGAGCAGGAAGAGGAGCAGGAAGGGGAAGCAGGAAGAGGAGCAGGAAGGTGAAGCAGGAAGGGGAGCAGGAAGTTGAAGCAGGAAGGGGAGCAAGAAGAGGAGCAGGAAGGTGAAGCAGGAAGGGGAGCAGGAAGGTGAAGCAGGAAGGGGAGCAGGAAGAGGAGCAGGAAGGGGAGCAAAGGTGAAGCAGGAAGAGGAGCAGGAAGGGGAGCAGGAAAATGAGCAGGAAGGTGAAGCAAGAAGGGGAGCAGGAAGGGGGGCCGGAAGGGGAGCAGGACGAGGAGCAGGAAGGGGAAGCAGGAAGAGGAGCAGGAAGGGGAGCAGGACGTTGAAGCAGGAAGGGGAGCAGGAAGGGGAGCAGGAAAATGAGCAGGAAGGTGAAGCAAGAAGGGGAGCAGGAAGAGGAGCAGGAAGGTGAAGCTGGAAGGGGAGCAGGAAGGTGAAGCAGGAAGGTGAAGTAGGAAGGGGCAGCAGGAAGGGGAGCAGGAAAGTGAAGCAGGAAGGTGAAGCAGGAAGGGGCAGCAGGAAGGGGAGCAGGAAGGTGAAGCAGGAAGGGGAGCAGGAAAGTGAAGCAGGAAGGGGAGCAGAAAGTTGAAGCAGGAAGGGGAGCAGGAAGGGGCAGCAGGAAGGGGAGCAGGAAGGTGAAGCAGAAAGGGGCAGCAGGAAGGGGAGCAGGAAGGTGAAGCAAGAAGGTGAAGCAGGAAGGGGCAGCAGGAAGGGGAGCAGGAAGGTGAAGCAGGAAGGGGCAGCAGGAAGGTGAAGCAGGAAGGGGAGCAGGAAAGTGAAGCAGGAAGGGGAGCAGAAAGTTGAAGCAGGAAGGGGAGCAGGAAGAGGAGCAGGAAGGTGAAGCAGGAAGGTGAAGCAGGAAGGGGAGCAGGAAGGTGAAGCAGGAACGGGAGCAGGAAGTTGAAGCAGGAAGGTGAAGCAGGAAGGGGAAGCAAGAAGGGGAGCAGGAAGGGGGGCCGGAAGGGGAGCAGGAAGAGGAGCAGGAAGGGGAAGCAGGAAGAGGAGCAGGAAGGGGAGCAGGACGTTGAAGCAGGAAGGGGAGCAGGAAGGGGAGCAGGAAAATGAGCAGGAAGGTGAAGCAAGAAGGGGAGCAGGAAGAGGAGCAGGAAGGTGAAGCTGGAAGGGGAGCAGGAAGGTGAAGCAGGAAGGTGAAGCAGGAAGGGGCAGCAGGAAGGGGAGCAGGAAAGTGAAGCAGGAAGGTGAAGCAGGAAGGGGCAGCAGGAAGGGGAGCAGGAAGGTGAAGCAGGAAGGGGAGCAGGAAAGTGAAGCAGGAAGGGGAGCAGAAAGTTGAAGCAGGAAGGGGAGCAGGAAGGGGCAGCAGGAAGGGGAGCAGGAAGGTGAAGCAGAAAGGGGCAGCAGGAAGGGGAGCAGGAAGGTGAAGCAAGAAGGTGAAGCAGGAAGGGGCAGCAGGAAGGGGAGCAGGAAGGTGAAGCAGGAAGGGGCAGCAGGAAGGTGAAGCAGGAAGGGGAGCAGGAAAGTGAAGCAGGAAGGGGAGCAGAAAGTTGAAGCAGGAAGGGGAGCAGGAAGAGGAGCAGGAAGGTGAAGCAGGAAGGTGAAGCAGGAAGGGGAGCAGGAAGGTGAAGCAGGAACGGGAGCAGGAAGTTGAAGCAGGAAGGTGAAGCAGGAAGGGGAAGCAAGAAGGGGAGCAGGAAGGGGGGCCGGAAGGGGAGCAGGAAGAGGAGCAGGAAGGGGAAGCAGGAAGAGGAGCAGGAAGGTGAAGCAGGAAGGGGAGCAGGAAGGTGAAGCAGGAAGGGGAGCAGGAAGAGGAGCAGTAAGGGGAGCAGGAAGGTGAAGCAGGAACAGGAGCAGGAAGGGGAGCAGGAAAATGAGCAGGAAGGTGAAGCAAGAAGGGGAGCAGGAAGGGGGGCTGGAAGGGGAGCAGGAAGAGGAGCAGGAAGGGGAAGCAGGAAGAGGAGCAGGAAGGGGAGCAGGACGTTGAAGCAGGAAGGGGAGCAGGAAGGGGAGCAGGAAAATGAGCAGGAAGGTGAAGCAAGAAGGGGAGCAGGAAGAGGAGCAGGAAGGTGAAACTGGAAGGGGAGCAGGAAGGTGAAGCAGGAAGGTGAAGCAGGAAGGGGCAGCAGGAAGGGGAGCAGGAAAGTGAAGCAGGAAGGTGAAGCAGGAAGGGGCAGCAGGAAGGGGAGCAGGAAGGTGAAGCAGGAAGGGGCAGCAGGAAGGTGAAGCAGGAAGGGGAGCAGGAAAGTGAAGCAGGAAGGGGAGCAGAAAGTTGAAGCAGGAAGGGGAGCAGGAAGAGGAGCAGGAAGGTGAAGCAGGAAGGGGAGCAGGAAGGTGAAGCAGGAAGGGGAGCAGGAAGAGGAGCAGGAAGGGGAGCAGGAAGGTGAAGCAGGAAGAGGAGCAGGAAGGGGAGCAGGAAAATGAGCAGGAAGGTGAAGCAAGAAGGGGAGCAGGAAGGGGGGCCGGAAGGGGAGCAGGAAGAGGAGCAGGAAGGGGAAGCAGGAAGAGGAGCAGGAAGGGGAGCAGGACGTTGAAGCAGGAAGGGGAGCAGGAAGGGGAGCAGGAAAATGAGCAGGAAGGTGAAGCAAGAAGGGGAGCAGGAAGAGGAGCAGGAAGGTGAAGCTGGAAGGGGAGCAGGAAGGTGAAGCAGGAAGGTGAAGCAGGAAGGGGCAGCAGGAAGGGGAGCAGGAAAGTGAAGCAGGAAGGTGAAGCAGGAAGGGGCAGCAGGAAGGGGAGCAGGAAGGTGAAGCAGGAAGGGGAGCAGGAAGGTGAAGCAGGAAGGGGCAGCAGGAAGGGGAGCAGGAAGGTGAAGCAGGAAGGGGCAGCAGGAAGGTGAAGCAGGAAGGGGAGCAGGAAAGTGAAGCAGGAAGGGGAGCAGAAAGTTGAAGCAGGAAGGGGAGCAGGAAGAGGAGCAGGAAGGTGAAGCAGGAAGGTGAAGCAGGAAGGGGAGCAGGAAGGTGAAGCAGGAACGGGAGCAGGAAGTTGAAGCAGGAAGGTGAAGCAGGAAGGGGAAGCAAGAAGGGGAGCAGGAAGGGGGGCCGGAAGGGGAGCAGGAAGAGGAGCAGGAAGGGGAAGCAGGAAGAGGAGCAGGAAGGTGAAGCAGGAAGGGGAGCAGGAAGAGGAGCAGAAAGGGGAGCAGGAAGGTGAAGCAGGAAGAGGAGCAGGAAGGGGAGCAGGAAAATGAGCAGGAAGGTGAAGCAAGAAGGGGAGCAGGAAGGGGGGCCGGAAGGGGAGCAGGAAGAGGAGCAGGAAGGGGAAGCAGGAAGAGGAGCAGGAAGGGGAGCAGGACGTTGAAGCAGGAAGGGGAGCAGGAAGGGGAGCAGGAAAATGAGCAGGAAGGTGAAGCAAGAAGGGGAGCAGGAAGAGGAGCAGGAAGGTGAAGCTGGAAGGGGAGCAGGAAGGTGAAGCAGGAAGGTGAAGCAGGAAGGGGCAGCAGGAAGGGGAGCAGGAAAGTGAAGCAGGAAGGTGAAGCAGGAAGGGGCAGCAGGAAGGGGAGCACGAAGGTGAAGCAGGAAGGGGCAGCAGGAAGGTGAAGCAGGAAGGGGAGCAGGAAAGTGAAGCAGGAAGGGGAGCAGAAAGTTGAAGCAGGAAGGGGAGCAGGAAGGGGCAGCAGGAAGGGGAGCAGGAAGGTGAAGCAGGAAGGGGCAGCAGGAAGGGGAGCAGGAAGGTGAAGCAAGAAGGTGAAGCAGGAAGGGGCAGCAGGAAGGGGAGCAGGAAGGTGAAGCAGGAAGGGGCAGCAGGAAGGTGAAGCAGGAAGGGGAGCAGGAAAGTGAAGCAGGAAGGGGAGCAGAAAGTTGAAGCAGGAAGGGGAGCAGGAAGAGGAGCAGGAAGGTGAAGCAGGAAGGGGAGCAGGAAGGTGAAGCAGGAACAGGAGCGAGCAGGAAGTTGAAGCAGGAAGGTGAAGCAGGAAGGGGAGCAGGAAGAGGAGCAGGAAGGGGAGCAGGAAAATGAGCAGGAAGGTGAAGCAAGAAGGGGAGCAGGAAGAGGAGCAGGAAGGTGAAGCTGGAAGGGGAGCAGGAAGGTGAAGCAGAAAGGTGAAGCAGGAAGGGGCAGCAGGAAGGGGAGCAGGAAAGTGAAGCAGGAAGGTGAAGCAGGAAGGGGCAGCAGGAAGGGGAGCAGGAAGGTGAAGCAGAAAGTTGAAGCAGGAAGGGGAGCAGGAAGGGGCAGCAGGAAGGGGAGCAGGAAGGTGAAGCAGGAAGGGGCAGCAGGAAGGGGAGCAGGAAGGTGAAGCAAGAAGGTGAAGCAGGAAGGGGCAGCAGGAAGGGGAGCAGGAAGGTGAAGCAGGAAGGGGCAGCAGGAAGGTGAAGCAGGAAGGGGAGCAGGAAAGTGAAGCAGGAAGGGGAGCAGAAAGTTGAAGCAGGAAGGGGAGCAGGAAGAGGAGCAGGAAGGTGAAGCAGGAAGGGGAGCAGGAAGGTGAAGCAGGAACGGGAGCAGGAAGTTGAAGCAGGAAGGTGAAGCAGGAAGGGGAGCAGGAAGAGGA